TCTTTTTCGTCTGACGGCAATGGACGGCGCCGTCAAAAACGCGGACGAATCATGCAATGCCACGTGGCAGGGCTATGCCTACGGCAAAGCCGTCGGCATAGATGATCTATGCCGACGGCTTTGCCGTAGGCATAGCCCTGCCACGTGTCGTCTTCTGGTTACTCCTGGCAGCAGAGGTATGCCTACGGCAAAGCCGTCGGCATAGATCCGCCACGTGGCGAGCCCTGGTGACTCCCCGGAGACGCGTGCTGGGCGTTTGCAACCGCCTCAACACTTCCAGATTTGTGAGAGGCCACCTACGCAAGATTTGACGGTATGCTAGCCCCCGGAGGCCGCCGGCCACAGTCGTAGACGTGCGAAGAGCAATCCGCGTAGAGGGAAGTGTTCAGATACTTCTCCATCACAAAAAATTATGAAAAATTACCATCAGTCCTATAGCACATGTGCCCACGTTGTGTAAAAAACTCATGATTTTATCGCGCTCCAAGTATTTAATAATATTCACGCTGCATCATTACCGCAGAACATCTACTACCATTTCATTGCCGTCCGTGAGGGGGGCCACAACCCGGAGACGCGTGCCGCCTCTTCGGACATGCCACAACACCACCCCGCATGTATGAGGGCCCGGTACGACGCTCCGGTGGCATTGCTACCCCCCCAGGGCCCCCGTCCTGCCTAACCCTGTAGCGTTTGACCACGGGATCTAGCCCTTTGACTTTGCACGGACAGGCTTTGACCAGTGGACCTCTCCACCCGGTTGTGTTAGGTCGGCCCAGACGAACACTTTGGAGCAACATCCGGGCCAGGCCCACAGCTACATCCACTCCGTGTAGACCCGACGCGTCCGTTTCCCCCCTCCAGGTGCCGGCGGCGGCGGCTTCCGTGAGGGAGGGGGGCACATCCCGGAGACGCGTGCTGGGCGTTTGCAACCGCCTCAACACTTCCAGACTTGTGAGAGGCCGCCTACGCAAGATTTGACGGTATGCTAGCCCCCGGAGGCCGCCGGCCACAGTCGTAGACGTGCGAAGAGCAATCCGCGTAGAGGGAAGTGTTCAGATACTTCTCCATCACAAAAAATTATGAAAAATTATCATCAGTCCTATAGCACATGTGCCCACGTTGTGTAAAAAACTCATGATTTTATCGCGCTCTAAGTATTTAATAATATTCACGCTGCATCGTTACCGCAGAACGTCTACTACCGTTTCATTGCCGTCCGTGAGGGGGGCCACAACCCGGAGACGCGTGCCACCTCTTCGGACATGCCACAACAGCACCCCGCATGTATGAGGGCCCGGTACGACGCTCCGGTGGCATTGCTACCCCCCCAGGGCCCCCGTCCCGCCTAACCCTGTAGCGTTTGACCACGGGATCTAGCCCTTTGACTTTGCACGGACGGGCTTTGACCAGTGGACCTCTCCACCCGGTTGTGTTAGGTCGGCCCAGAGGAACACTTTGGAGCAACATCCGGACCAAACCCACAGCTACATCCACTCCGTGTAGACCCGACACGGCCGTTTCCCCCCTCCAGGTGCCGGCGGCGGCGACGTCTGTGAGGGGGGGGGCACACCCCGGAGACGCGTGCTGGGCGTTTGCAACCGCCTCAACACTTCCAGATTTGTGAGAGGCCGCCTACGCAAGATTTGACGGTATGCTAGCCCCCGGAGGCCGCCGGCCACAGTCGTAGACGTGCGAAGAGCAATCCGCGTAGAGGGAAGTGTTCAGATAGTTCTCCATCACAAAAAATTATGAAAAATTACCATCAGTCCTATAGCACATGTGCCCACGTTGTGTAAAAAACTCATGATTTTATCACGCTCCAAGTATTTAATAATATTCACGCTGCATCGTTACCGCAGAACGTCTACTACCGTTTCATTGCCGTCCGTGAGGGGGGCCACAACCCGGAGACGCGTGCGGCCTCTTCGGACATGCCACAACACCACCCCGCATGTATGAGGGCCCGGTACGACGCTCCGGTGGCATTGCTACCCCCCAGGGCCCCCGTCCCGGCTAACCCTGTAGCGTTTGACCACGGGATCTAGCCCTTTGACTTTGCACGGACGGGCTTTGACCAGTGGACCTCTCCACCCGGTTGTGTCGGGTCGGCCCAGAGGGACACCGGGAAGCAACATCCGGGCCAAACCCACAGCTACATCCACTTCGTGTAGACCCGACGCGTCCGTTTCCCCCTTCCAGGTGCCGGCGGCGGCACTGTCCGTGGGGGGGGCACG